TTTTTTTTTTTGCCGTTACTATTGTCGCTATATGGGTATTTTGCAGCCACTGCCTCAGTCGTTCAATTATGGGCTGTTTCTGCCTCCCTGCGACGGCAGAGCAGGCAAATTTCTGCTCGAAGACCGTCCGATACGCGTTTATCCATTTCACGACTGTGTCCCTTACCTCGAGGTATTTGTCTATCGGTCACAAACTGTCGCTGTTTGCTCCATTTTTTCCTGCAGCAATTTTGAAATGCTTTCAAATAGCGTTTAAATGTTTATTTGAAAAGAAAAATTTCCCATTTTTCAATCTTTTTTTCAACTTATTATAATTCTGATCGTCGTTCTTAATTTTCTAGAAAAGAGGAGCAGGGAAGAAGGCATTTGTATAAATGAATTGTTGTTGCCTTTATTGTTTTCTGTTTTTTGCTATTGTTGTTGCTTTAGAGATCAAACTATGAAGGCAGTATTTGGTTTTCTCAGTTTCATTTTGTCATTGTTTTGCTTTTAGCTCAAATACAAAAAACGGGTTTACAAGATGCTTAAATTGGACGAGAAGCACTTGAAGCAGCTTCATTCTAAGGTATGTACAAAAATTTGAGTTGTTTTACTAATGCTAATAAAGCTTTTCTGTTTTTTTACCTATCGTTGCTTAAACTAACACTTGTCTTTTTTTATCGTACAAATTTGAATTTAAGTGATGTTTCCTCATTGAGTTTAGTATTTGTTGGTACTCAAAAAGTTGTTCAAATTGATGTTGATTAACACTTTTGTTTTGGTCAAAAAATGATTGCTTTTTGGTGTTTCTTTCTTTTTTTTAAAGAATAATTCTAGTGGTACCTGTTTATTGAACAGAATATTATCATTTATACTGTATTTTAATGATATATACGGTATAAATGACATCTTTTTTTATTGTAGTCAAACTTGAAAAAATTTATGGAACATGTACAAGCGATGAACGGTGAAAAAATTGAAAAATTATGTAATGCTGGTTTGGATCCAAATTTTCATGATGCGCTCGGTGAAACACCGTTAACATTGGCTGCTGGAATACCGAATAATCGGAATGTAATTGTCAGCTTAGTTGGTGGCGGTGCACACATTGACTTCAGAAATAGTGAAGGACAGGTAAACTCTTTTCTTCTTTTTTTTTATATATGTTTTTTTTTTGTTAACTTATTTTGA